TCTATAATATCTGTGCTCCATTCTGCGTTGTGCAAACAGCGCTCCTGAAGGAGCAAAGCGGAAACAGCGAAACGCTCAGAGCTTCCGGACCCAGCTTTCATACTATCATCCTGCCATTTTAAAAAAAAAGTCATACTTTTTAAAAATCCACATATGCATGTAATATGTGAATATTTATTACTGAATATGTGTTACATACTCTTTTTTTCAGTAGGAACCTGTGCTGCAAAGCTTTACCCCTGTGTGCAGTTCAGAATGTAAGTTCTCTTGGAAATATGCACTTCTCCAAATTTTGCAGGTTGAATATGCTCACTTTAAACTACGAATGGGGGGTGGGGGAGCTTAAAGCTAAAACTTCTATATAGGAGAGCATTCAAACCAAGCATGTCCCTGCCTGCAGCGTACTATAATCCAGAAAAGCTTCACTGTTTGCTCCCATCTTAACTTCCAAGCAGAAGAACAACTCATGTAGCAACAGCCACTAACAACCTCCCCGCTTCGTAATCCATATCAAGGCAGAAACCATCCAATTCTCTTTCTCCCAGAATGTCCAATTTAGCCACACAGCTCCTTCTTTGCAGACACTACCTCATGAATAACTGAGAAGGATTTATGGACATGGGGCACCAGGGAGAGGTGTGGTGGAGGCTGAGGCGTGCATAGTTTACAAGGAGAAACAAGGAGAAACGTTCTCGGCAGCAGCAACACTGTCTCATTAGGCCTTTGAAAGAGCTTCAAAGAATCACTGCCATTCGAGAGCCAGTTTGTCCGTTTGGGGCTCATCTGGCAAAAGGGCATCCTTAATAAAAATAATGGTTGCAAAGCATGGGCCTCTACATCTGGAAGAGAGTATATTTGCCTGCAGAGCCCACTATGTAAACACCCAGTTCAGATCCAGTCTAATAATAGTCTGGGAGTCCTTTCAAGCCAGACTACTTGGGTTTGGAAAAGTCTCCTCTAAGAAGTCTGAGCAACATAATGCTGGGATTGGAGTGTGGAGACAACTTTGGAGGGTCAAAAGCCCATTTTTCATACATCCCAGACTTGCTATGCGCCACAACAGCCTCTCCCAGTGAAATCAGTGAACCAGTTTTTTTTAATGCCAGTAGATAGTTATTTTTACTACATCTTTTTAGCTACAATTCTCCCATTTGAAAAAAAAAAGCCTCCAGATATGGATTGCTGTAAGTTTTTCAGGCTGTATGGTCATGTTCCAGAAGCATTCTCTCCTGACATTTCACCTGCATCTATAGCAAACATCCTCAGAGGTTGTGAGGTCTGTTGGAAACTAGGCAAGTAGAGTTTATATATCTGTGGAAAGTCCAGGGTGGGAGAAAGAACTCTTGTCTGTTGGAGGTAGGCATGAATGTTTTAATTGGCCATCTTGATTAGCATTTGATGGCCTAGCAGTTCTCAAGGTGTGGCTTCTTGCTGCCTGAGGGAATTCTTTCTTGATTAGTTGTCCCTGATTGTTTCTTGTCTGGAGCTCCCCTATCTTTATTTACTGTTATGATTTTAGAGCTTTTTAATACGGGTAGCTAGATTTAGTTCCTTTTCATTTCTGTTGAAATTGTCCACATGCTTTTGGATTTCAATGGACCACTCTTAACAACTACCATGTCAGACTACACAAAGAAGCCATTGAAGCTTATAATGACATTTCAATATAATGTACATCAGTATAATTGTTTTTAAAAGGACTGGAAACTAAACCTTATTGAGGGAACTGGACATGTTTACCATGCAGAAGAGAAGTCGGAGAGGTGATATTAGAATGAGTTGCTGTGAGTTTTCTGGGCTGTATGGCCATGGTCCAGAAGCATTCTCTCCTGGCGTTTCACCCACATCCCCAGAGGTTGAGGGGTCTGTTGGAAACTAAGCAAGTCAGTGTGTGTGTGTGTGTGTATGTGTGTGTGTGTGTGTGTGTATATATATATGGATAATAGAATGAAATTTAAGTACTGTTGGGAATATATGCAATCTCACACGCATTTCCTGTTTGTTCTATGCTGTAATATGATCTCCTCACATTCCAAAGTTTATTGCACCTGATTTAAATATGCATGTAAGCTAATGAGTTGACCACCATCTGATATGTGCCCTAAGTCACGTAGGCTATCTGAGCACATGTTTGGAAGGGTATATAAAGGGGTTGTATTTCTTTTGTCCCCCCCACCTCCCCATTTGCTGTTTTTGCTCTGTTTTGCTACCTTTTGAGATGTAATCTTTTGGAGGAGAGAGGTCTGCTTACTACCTTAAGGCCTGACTCATTGCTCTGAATGTAACCAAGGATTTGTTACCTGTATGAGATTTACATCATGCATGCTCTTTTCCTAGTAAGTAAATTCTTTGATCTTAAACTCTGTGTCTGAGCTAGTTATTTGCATGCGTATTTCTTAAAAGGGAGAAAGTGGGTGGCTGTGTATTTGTTGGTCTCAACTTTCCATAAGCCCTGGGCATCTCTACCTACCTCTGGTCCTCAAGCTTCCTTGCTGTATATTTAAGGTTATTGATAAGCCAGCATTGATCTGATATTGTAATGACTGTCAGTGCCATGCAAATATATTTTTCCATCAAGTACCTAACACAGGCATGGGCAAACTTCAGCCCTCCATGTGTTTTCCAACTCCCACAATTCCTAACAGCCTCAGGCCCCTTCGCTTAAGTGGCTGAGCGGAAAAAGGAAAGGGTCTGAGGCTGTAAGGAATTGCGGGAGCTGGAGTCCGAACGTATCTCCTTCTACGTCCCGCGTAGGAATTTAAGATCTTCTGGAGAGGCCCTGCTCTTGGCCCCGCCCTTGGGACAGAGCCTTCTCGGTGGTGGCCCCCCGTCTGTGGAATTCACTCCCCGGGGAAATTAGATCATCGTCAACCCTCCTCTCTTTTAGAAGGAAATTAAAAACATGGATATGGGACCAGGCCTTTGGATAATCTGGCAGGCTAACAAGGACAATGGCGACAAGAGCATTGGAAACGAATTATCCGGAGTTTCGGTGTGCGGTGTTATCTGTACGCAGATGACGTCCAACTCTGTCACTCCTTCCCACCTACTACTAAGGAGGCTGTTCAGGTCCTGAACCGTTGCTTGGCCGCTGTGTCGGACTGGATGAGGGCTAACAAATTGAAATTGAATCCAGATAAGACAGAGGCACTCCTGGTCAGTCGAAAGGCCGAACAGGGTATAGGGTTACAGCCTGTGTTAGATGGGGTTACACTCCCCCTGAAGACGCAGGTTCGCAGCTTGGGTGTGATCCTGGACTCTTCTCTAAGCTTGGAACCCCAAGTTTCGGCGGTGTCCAGGGGAGCATTTGCACAACTCAAACTTGTGCGCCAGTTGCGCCCGTACCTTGGGAAGTCTGACTTGGCCACGGTAGTCCACGCTCTGGTTACATCCCGGATTGATTACTGCAACGCGCTCTACGTGGGGTTGCCCTTGAAGACTGCCCGGAAGCTTCAGATGGTCCAGCGCTCGGCAGCCAGGTTGCTAACGGGAGCGGCACTCAGGGAGCACACCACTCCTCTTGAGCCAGCTCCACTGGCTGCCAATCCGCTACTGGGCACAATTCAAGGTGCTGGCTTTAGCCTATAAAGCCCTAAACGGTTCTGGCCCTGCTTACCTCTCCGAACGCATCTCCACCTATGAACCGACGAGGACGTTAAGATCGTCCGGGGAGGCCCTGCTCTCGGTCCCGCCTGCGTCGCAGGCGCGGCTGGCGGGGTTGAGGGACAGGGCCTTCTCGGTGGTGGCCCCTCGGCTATGGAATGCCCTACCCGCAGACATCAGGCAGGCCCCTTCATTGCTGGAGTTCCGGAGGAAGGTCAAGACGTGGCTCTATGAACAGGCGTTCGATCAACAAGGCAACTGAACTCATGAAGACGGTATAAATGAACAAAGGAATGGTAGAAGGATTATGAGAACGGAATCTGATTTTTACTGAGGCGTTGATGACTACGTTGTGTTGTCTTGTATTGTCTGTCGTGTATGTTGTGTTTTAACTAATTGTTATTGTTATATAAATTGCATTGTAAACCGCATTGAGTCGCCGAATTAGGCTGAAAAATGCGGTATAAAAATAAAGCAAATAATAAATGATAAGCTGAATGGACTTATTAATTACAGAACCCGGCGAAACGATGGCCACTAGGCTGGCTTCTTTTCTAGTAGATATTACTGTATTAACGTAATGTTTTAATTATTTATAATTACTGTTTGTTGTGTATTTTATTGTGTTTAATTGTAGGCATTGAATATGTGCCGGCTGGAAGCCGCCCTGAGTCCCCCCTAGAAGGGTGGGGTAGAAATACCCGAAATAAATAAATAAATAAATAAATAAACACCTGGAGGGCTGAAATTTGCCCAGGCCTGACCTAAATTGTTTAAATTTTGTAGTTATAATAAGTTTATTTTCTGTTGCACTGGAGGATAGGGCATAAGAGCCAATAAGATTCAAATTACAAGCAAAGGCAATCCCGGCTAAAGATTGCAAGTTCAACCCTTCCCTCCCTAATCACACTCACAACAAAGATCATCCTCAAGTGAACAAATGCACGCAATGGCATCACCAATGAGGATCACAAATTGGAGTGACACCAGGGCACACCAAAAGGAGCATCAATGCTGCGAAATGCCTCCTGCTCCCAGGAGGACAGTAAAGGGATATGTGGTTATTACACTACATCCAAATACCTGGGGAAAACCAAGTCATTTCAAGATTGCTGAGCATCAAAAATGTTTAAATGGTGGTAGGACCCACAAAGCTTTAGAAATTAACTATTCTGGCAGCAAAATATGTGGTACTCAAGACTGCGCTCAAATCTTAACATGATGTTTTGATGCCCTCTAGTGTTAAATTAGGAAATGAAATGCCATTCGAAGTGGAGACAGCAAAGAAATATGGAATCTATCAATCTCAAGGTTTTTTAGAAAATCACTCCTGCTGAACAGCGTTCTGACATTGCCATTTGGCCCTAAGCTTGTGAAGAAGGAAGTATTTCTCCTACCATGGAGTCTTGGTTGCTTTCTTGAGCTGGGACTGCTGCCCTGGGTGCCATGTTGGTTCCAGTCTCTTGAGAAGCTGGGCAGCGGCATGGGAGTGCTATGCGCTTGCTGCAGCTCTGGAGAAAAGGAAAAAGGACATTCTCATGAAAGTTAGAGTCATCTCTTTGCTCTACATTTAAACTGAATTGTATATATTTGGGGGGGGGGGGAGGCACAAAAGGACATATCCCAAACTAGGCGATGCACAAGTTGGTGAGGCAAAGGGTCTCTCAGGGCCCTTCCAGACAGGCACTATATCCCAGGATGGACAATAAGTTAAACATGAGCCAACAATGTGATGCAGCAGCAAAAAATGCCAATGGGATTTTGGCCTGCATCAATAGGAGTCTAGTATATAGATCCAGGGAAGTTATGCTACCACTCTATTCTGCCTTGGTTAGACCACACCTGGAATATTGTGTCCAATTCTGGGCACCACAATTCAAGAGAGATATTGACAAGCTGGAATGTGTCCAGAGGAGGGCAACTAAAATGATCAAGGGTCTGGAGAACAAGCCCTATGAGGAGCGGCTTAAAGAACTGGGCATGTTTAACCTGAAGAAGAGAAGGCTAAGAGGAGACATGATAGCCATGTATAAATACGTGAGAGGAAATCACAGGGAGGAGGGAGTAAGCTTGTTTTCTGCTTGCCTGGAGACTAGGACAATGGCTTCAAACTACAAGAAAGGAGATTCCATCTGAACATTAGGAAGAACTTCCTGACTGTGAGAGCCGTTCAGCAGTGGAACTCTCTGCCCCGGAGTGTGGTGGAGGCTCCTTCTTTGGAAGCTTTTAAACAGAGGCTAGATGGCCATCTGTCAGGGCACTTTGAATGCAATTTTCCTGCTTCTTGGCAGGGGGTTGGACTGGATGGCCCATGAGGTCTCTTCCAACTCTATGATTCTAGGATCTGATTCCAGGTTTTTTGTTTATCCCAGATTATCTGGCAGTGCAAACTCATATTATCCAGTTTAAAGCAGAAAACCTGGGATCAGATCCTGGGATATAAGGCCTATCTGGAAGGGCCCTCAGTTCCAAATAAGAAGACTTGTCTCTTTTTAGCCAACAGGAATGGAAACAGCAGTCATGAAATCAGAAAACAGTTAGAACTTGGAAGGACAGTTATGAGGAAATTCAACAAGATCTTAAAGTATCAAGATACATTAAATACTAAAGTTAGCATTGCCCATGCCATCGTATTTTCAATTTCTATGAAAGGTTGTGAAATCTGGACAAGGAAGAAAGCCAATAGGAAGAAAACCAACTGATTGAGATATCCCGAGGGCCATTCCAGACAGGCCCTATATCCCATGATCTGATTCCAGGTTTTCTGCTTTAAACTGGATTATACGAGTCCGCACTGCCAGATAATCTGGGATAAACAGAAAAGCTGGGATCAGAGACTGGGATATAGGTCCCGCCTGAGTTACCATGCTTATGCTCCATTCATTTAAGATACAGTAGAGTCTCTCTTATCCAACATAAATAGGCCGACAGAACGTTGGATAAGCAAAAATGTCGGATAATAAGGAGGGATTAAGGAAAAACCTATTAAATATCAAATTACTTTATGATTTTACAAATTAAGCACCAAAACATCAATCGACAGAAATTATTTATTTATTTATTTATTTATTTATTTACCATATTTATATACCGCCCCTCTAAACCCGGAGGTGACTCGAGGCAGTTTACAGTCGGCAGTCAGTGTCCCCAAACAACATAAATACAGTTAAAAACATTACATATAATATAAACCATATAAAAGCAAGAAAACAATAAAAGCCATAAAACACAAGTCCTCAGTGTCTCATCACTAAAATCATTTTTCTATCGCATCGTCCAATCGTTTCGTTATCTCAATTAATCTGTTACACTGCGTCTGCAAATGCCTGCTCAAACAGCCAAGTTTTGACTCGAAATGTTAGGAGGGAAGGGGCCGATCTAATATCCCGAGGGAGGGCGTTCCATAGCCAAGGGGCCACCACTGAGAAGGCCCTGTCTCTTGTTCCCACCAATCGCATCTGCGAAGGCAGTTCAATACATGGTAGCATTATGTAGTAACTACTGTATTTATGAATTTAGCACCAAAACAGACAAGTTTTATTTCTTTATTTATTATTTCGGGCACTTCTACCCCGCCCTTCTCAACCCCCTAGGGGGGACTCAGGCGGCTTACACAATTCAATGCCAACAATTCATCAGATAAAATACATAACAACAATAATCACAATAATTAAAACATTCAATTAATACAATAACAATTAAAAAGCCAAATTAGTGGCCAACGTTCACCGATTTCTAAAATCAGTAAGTCCATTCAGCATTACCATAGTCCTTTCCAAATTCTGGTTGTCATTACCTTGTCAGTCTGCCAGATTAACCAAAAGCCTGGTCCCATATCCATGTTTTCAGCTTCCTTCTGAAGGAGAGGAGGGATGTTGATGATCTAATTTCCCCGGGGATTGAATTCCACAGGTGAGGGGCCACCACTGAGAAGGCCCTGTCCCTCATCCCCACCAGCCTCACTTGTGATAGAGGCGGGGCCGAGAGCAGGGCCTCCCCAGAAGATCTTAAACTCCGAGGTGGGACATAGAAGGAGATACGTTCGGACAGGTACGCTGGGCCAGAGCTGTATAGGGTTTTATAGGTCATAGGGTTTTATAGGTTCTTTCTTTTTCCCACCCTGTATATTATTCTGAGTGGAAGGCAGACTGCGTTGGATAATACAGAACATTGGATGAGTGAAGATTGGATAAGTGAGACTCTACTGTATACTGAGTTATCATGCCCATTCATTTGTCTTTTTAGCAGTCCGTAGCATTCGTAGTTTATGGCATGGTAACTCACAACATAACAGAGAGAATGTATTATTTTTGTATGAGCAGCTGGAATGTAAACACAGAGACCCATGGAAGTGATTCATTCTAATGGACCTTTTGTGTGTGTTTTCAACCTTTCAAGGAACTAGAGAGCATCTCCCCTAATTGGCTGCAGAGGCAGGAGGCCTGACCGGAATGCAAAGAGAGGAGCGTGGGGACCGTAGTTGCGAAGGAGGACCCTGCGGACAGCGGGTGATAGTGGGGTGCCCTTCTGAGCTGCCTTGTTTCCCAGCAACCCAGCCCCTGCCGTGTTTCGACGAGGCAGGCGCCTCACTCTGCATCACTCCCGGCAATTAGTAGCTTTGGCAAGCAAATTAGGTTTTCTATTAGATTCCACAAAAGTCATGGTATTCAATTTGTACCTGAACTTTGGAAGTAATTCAATTACGTCCTCCTGTGAACCCCTGCCTCCCTAGTGCGATGGAAAGGGGGAGGCATGGTCACAAATTGGAGGGGAGGAGGGGAGGCACATGGAAACTGAGCTATGGTTGTTCCCTCTCTTCCCAACTCTGCTCAGCTTCCCGTTTCTGAATACATAGTTGAACCACATAATCCATTTGTTCCCAATCAAGGTAGGCCTCGTCAATGCTATTCTTTCTGGCAAAGTGCTGACAGCTGCATGACAAACTTTATCAGGCAAGACTGTTCCCCTTCTTGCTGCCTACACACTTGGATTAGATCCAGCTACCAAATTTATTATTGCTACTAGCTGTACCCGCCACGCATTGCTGTGGCCAACCTTCCCTCTTTCTCTCCTTCTTTCCCTCCTTCCTTCACTCCGTCTTTCCTTCCTTCCTTCCCGTCTTTCCTTCTCTTCTTCCCTTGTTCTCTTTCTCCCTCCTTTTTCTTTCTCTTTTGCTGACTCTCTTTTCTTCCTTCTCTCTTTCCTTCTCTCCCTCTTTCTCTACATCTTCCCCCCTTCCTTCCCTCCCTCTTTCCTTTCTTCTTTCCCTTTTTTCTTTCCTTCTCCCTTTCCTTCCTTCTCTAACTTTCCTTCCTTCCCCCTTTTTCTTTCCCTCCCTCTTTCTCTCCTTTCTTCCTTCACTCCCTTTTTCCTTCCTTCCTTCCTGTCTTTCCTTCTCTTCTTCCCTCATTCTCTCCCCTCCTCCTCTTTCCTTCTTTCCTTCCCTCCCTCTTTCTCTACATCTTCCCCCCTTCCTTCGCTCCCTCTTTCCTTCCTTCTTTCCCTTTTTTCTTTCCTTCTCTCCTTTCCTTCCTTCTCTAACTTTCCTTCCTTCCCCCTTTTTCTTTCCCTCCCTCTTTCTCTCCTTTCTTCCTTCTCCCTTTGCTTCCATGCTTCGTTCTCCCTTTCCTTCTCTTCTTCCCTCATCTCTCCCCCTCCCTTTTCTTTCTCTTTTGCTGACTCTCTTTTCTTCCTTCTCTCTTTCCTTCCCTCCCTTTCTCTACATCTTCCCCCCTTCCTTCGCTCCCTCTTTCCTTTCTTCTTTCCCATTTTTCTTTCCTTCTCTCTTTCCTTCCTTCTCTAACTTTCCTTCATTCCCCCTTTTTCTTTCCCTCCCTCTTTCTCACTCCCTCCTTCCTTCCTTCTTTCCTTCCTTCCTTCCATCCTTCCTTCCTTCCTTTCCTTCTCTTCTTCCCTCATTCTCCCTCCCCCTTTTCTTTCTCTTTTGCTGACTCTCTTTTCTTCCTTCTCTCTTTCCTTCCCTCCCTTTCTCTACTTCTTCCCCCCTTCCTTCGCTCCCTCTTTCCTTTTTTTTCTTTCCCTTTTTTCTTTCCTTCTCTCTTTCCTTCCTTCTCTAACTTTCCTTCATTTCCTTCATTTATAGTTCACCTACAATCAAAGAGTATTCTGAACCCCACCAACGATAGAATTGGACCAGATTTCCCAAACACAATCCCCATGACCAACAGAAAATACTATGTTTTCTGATGGTCTTTGGTGACCCCTCTGACACCCCCTTGTGACCCCCCCCCCCCAGGGTCCCGACCCCCATGTTGAGAAACAGTGCTGTAGAGGCATCTTACCTTTCTTACTGTATTTATCCCAGGATCCCTGGATTATGAGATTTGGGGACAGGCGAGCTGTCATCTTCCAGGGCTCTTTTTGAGCTCTTCCTCTGACACTGGTGTTATTCACCCCCAGGTTTGGGGCACAAAGTGCTGTGAGGCTGTGGTCAGCAGCTTGTGTTGCTTCCATAGTATGCAGGCTGGAGTTGGAAAGGGGAGGTGGCAGCGAAGTACCATAGAAGGTCTTTGGGTCCTTTGATGGAAGATCCACATACAGGGCTCCATACAAGCTGCTGTTCCTGCTGTCAGGCACCAAAGGGACTGTCTGGCTGTGAGAAGCTTGGCTCTGCCTGTCAAAGGATATTGCTGGCAGGGGAAAGGGAAGGTTGAGTGTGAAAAGCATGTTGAGGAGAAAGACATCACCTTTCCCCTCCAACACTACCTTGAGATTCACCTCTCAAGATCTAATTTATATGTGATGCTCGATAAATGAAGTATTGGAACCCCAGGTCTTGGCAGTGGTCAGGGGAGCTTTTGCACAATTAAAACTTGTGCGCCAGCTGTGCCCGTGCCTTGGGAAGTCTGACTTGGCCACGGTGGTCCACGCTCTGGTTACATCCCATATATACTGCAACGCTCGCTACGTAGGGTTGCCTCTGAAGACTGCCCGGAAGCAGTTCAACAAGCGGCAGCCAGATTACTAACAGGAGCGGGGTACAGGGAGCACACTACTCCTCTGTTGAGTCAGCTCCACTGGCTGCCAATTAGCTTCTGAGCACAATTCAAAGTGCTGGTGCTGACCTATAAATCCCTAAACGGCCCCGGTCATGTTTACCTGTCCGAATGGATTCTCACCTACGAACCATCAAGGTTGTTAAGATCTTCTGGAGAGGCCCTGCTCTCGGTCCCACCACCTTCGCAATCGCGTCTGGTGGAGACGAGGGACAGGGCCTTCTTGGTGGTGGCCCCTCGGCTGTGGAACTCTCTCCCAATGGAGGTTAGATCTGCCCCTTCCCTCCTGACTTTCAGAAAGCTAGTAAAATCATGGCTCTGGGACATAGAATGATTAGCGAGTCAATAACTACTGACCACACTGGCGGATGGTGATGAATGTGATTTTATCTTGACGATCAGGGTTTATGTATTTATTTGGTTTGTATTTTAATGTATTATGATGTTATTATGTTATTAGTTTATTTGTGTATGGATTTTCTGTTGTTAGCCGGCCTGAGTCCCTCTTCTGAGGTTGAGAAAACCGGGTTATAAAAGTTCTAAATAAATAAATAAATAAATAATACTGAGAAGCCCTGAATTGTTGCCAGGACTGTCATACCATTAGAAAGTGTGAGTCAACTGCCTCAAGTGACGAATGCTAAGACATAAACAGTATCAGCCAGACAAACATTCCTCCCAAGTCCTCTGACCATTTCCTTCTATTGGAGGATAATTTTGTTCTGCACCCTTAAACCAGAGTCAAGTCATGATGTCCATGTCTCTCAGATGAAGAATAAATTCAAGTATTTAGGCCAGTGGTTCTCAACCTGTGGGTCCCAAGGTGTTTTGGCCTATAATTCCCAAAAATTCCAGCCAATTTACCAGCTGTTAGGATTTCTGGAGTTGAAGGCCAAACATCTGGGGACCCACCAGTTGAAAACCACTGATTTAAGCCAAACCCTAAAGGAGCTGTCCAAAGTTCTGAACTGTTTTGATTATAGGGTTGGCACTTGGAAAGCCTGTTTGAAGTTCAGACTAAAACTGAGCGTGGATTAGCTGCCAAATTGGCTTTGTAGGGCTCTACACTAATCTGCTGTCCTCAGAAGAGACACAGGAAGATTGTCTGGTTTGTTTCTGTACGTGGAATGGGATCTGATGCAGGAGCAACCCACTTTGTCCATTGCATCAGACAACAAAATGGCTGGACAGTGTTCCACACAGCTACCATGATTTTGGAGAGGCCATTTACCTTATACACTTGGATGTATTCACACTATAGTTTTATAGTTTTATAAATTTTATTGTTGTAGTTGCTTTTATGGTTTTTACATGTATTATGATGTGATTTATTTGCTTTTAACCAATGTATATATTTATATATGACATCTAATTGTTGCTGATTTGTACACCACCCTGAGTTGCCTTCAGGCTGAAATGGGCAGGATAGAAGTGATGTAAATAAATAATAAATAATAACATTATAGCAGTTTTATGGCATTTTAACTGCTATCACTTCCTCTTGTGGAATTCTGGGATTAGTTTTTATTGTTATGCCTTCAAGTCAACTTCTGACTTATAGAGATCCCAAGGTGAACCTAATACTATCTGTATAGTGTTTTAATTATTTTAGCTGTTTTAATGTATTTTAAGTGATTTTAAGTTTAATTTTTGTATGTTGTAAATTTTAAATTGCTTTTTAAAAAAAATGTTGTGAGTTGTTTTGTGACTCAATCAAGAGAAAAATATGGGGTGTAAATAAATAAATATGATGATGATGACAATAATAGCCAGCATCACTACTACTCTAGTATTCCAAAGCTCAAGTCCAGCAATCAGACCATGACACCACAGTGGCTCTTGATACTTACTAGATTTGTGCAATTCCTGGCTGTCTTTGGGCTCTGTCCACAGAAGCTGGCTACTCAAGCTGCTGCTGGTGCTGTAATTCTTAGAACCTGTTGTTGATTTCCAGGTGTTTGAAAGCCAGGGAGAATCACTGGAATCCACTCTATAGGCAAAGAAGAATAAATATGATTCTATAGGTAAAGATGTAGTGATGGCAACAGGGAGGAAATGTAGACTGGCCACATTGTTCGAATGCCAGATCACCATTTCCCAAAGCAGTTACTATACTCCAAACTCAAGAATGGGAAATGTAATGTTGGTGGACAGGAGAAGAGATTTAAAGATGGGTTTAAAGCCAACCTTAAAAACTGTGGCATAGACACCGAGAACTGGGAATCCCTAGCCTTTGAGCACTCTAACTGGAGGTCAGCTGTGACCAGCAGTGCTTCAGATTTTGAAGAGGCACAAATGGAGGGAGAAAGGGAGAAACATGCCAAGGGGAAAGCGCATCAACCCAACCCTGACCAGGACTGCCTTCCACCTGGAGACCGATGTCCTTACTACGGGAAAACATGTAGGTCTCCGCAGCTACCTATGGACCCACATGCACCGCCACTTCACTGCACTCGGAGGACCATCATCCTCAGATTATGAGAGATTGCCTGAGTAAGTAAGTAAGTAAGTAAGTAAGTAAGTAGAAATGTGTCCAGATCCCTACTGAGCAGAATGGGCAAGAAGAACCCGCATGCAGAAGTTTGTAAAACAGATCATGATCTAAGGTAGAGGTGATGTAAGCTAGAGGTGGCCTTCCCCACAGCAAGCCTAAATGCCCCTGTTTTTCATTTGCAGTCTCTTCCAAAATAATTACAGGAGGTGACATCTCTTCATTGGTTGAGAAAAACAGAGGTATCTAGACAGCTTGTTGTGGGCAAAGGTATTTTGGCATATTTTCATATTTTGGGGAAACTTTCTGCATAGCTTGGGGGCATAAATGCCACTTTGGGTTTCAGTCCTAGGAGTAAGGCAGAATGACGACGACAACAACAACACACATGCACAGAAAAGAGAAAATATGGCTTGCAACTACAGATCAAACCCATCATTATCTTAGGCCCTTAGAAACAGCCCGATATTCAGAGCTGAATCCCAGACACTTGGACTTTACGTGCATTCGTGCTGTGTTGGTCACTGAACATCAAGAAAACCAAAGTGCTCTTCTAGCAGTCACCAGCCAATCCCTCTCCAATGCCAAAAATACAGCTTAATGGTGTAACATTAGAAAATGTTGACCATTTCCGCTACTTTGGCAGCCACCTCTCCACAAAAGTCAACATTGACTCTGAAATACAACACCACCTGAGCTCTGTGAGTGCAGCACTTTTCCGAATAAAGCACAGTGTTTAAGAACTGGGACATCCATAGGGATACCAAGGTACTTGTTTATAAAGCTATTGTCCTCCCAACCCTGCTATTCACCTGGGAGATGTGGACTGTCTACAGACATCACATGCAATTCCTAGAACCATTCCATCAGCACTGCCTCCGAAAAATCCTGCAAATCTCTTGGGAAGACAAGTGGACAAATATCAGCATGCTGGAAGAAGCAAAGACCACCAGCATTGAAGCGATGGTCCTCTGCCATCAACTCCACTGCACCAGCCACGTTGTCCGGATGCCCTACCACTGTCTCCCAAAGCAGTTGCTCTATTCTGAACTCAAGAATGGAAAATGGAATGTTGGTGGGCAGGAAAAGAGATTGAAAGATGGGCTCAAAGCCAACTTAAAAAACTCTGGCATAAACACAGAGAACTGGGAAGCCCTCGCCCTTGAGTGCTCTAGATGGAGGTCAGCTGTGACCAGCAGTGCTTTAGAATTTGAAGAGGCATGAATGGAGGGTGAAAGAGAGAAACATGCCAAGAGGAAGGTGCATCAAGCCAACCCCGACCGAGACTGTCTTCCACCTGGAAACCAATGCCCTCACTGCGGGAAAACATGCAGATCTAGAATAGGGTTCCACGGACCCACTGATCTTGGAAGACAATCCTACTTGGACAACAAGTAAGTACAGTAAGTAAGTACAGTGCATGTAATCTGACCAAATCATACCCCCAAATTCATATCAAAATTTTGTAGACAGAGTGTGGGAAGTTTTATGGTGTCAAGGACTTCAAATCGGAATCTAGGAGCTGCATTAGGTCCATAAACTGCAGTACATCTAGGCCCCAGGACTTAACGCTATTAAATCCAGCATTTAAACTTCTTTTAGAGTGAGAAATGGACTGTGAGATCAGGGAATGGTCTCTAACAGCTCTGTTGCAAGCTTGAACATTCATGTCCAGAATATGTCTTCATTTACACACACAGGATTACTGAGCTGCAGAATTTTACAGCCTGGTACTGCAATGCGTATCCCCTCCTATTTTGCATTGGAAAGCAATAAAAAATAGCACCTGCTTTGAAATCAGTGGAAACATATGGAGTACTTTGATGATTTTATACTAGTATCACATTCCAAAAGTATGACAGAAGGGAAAGAAATCAAAGCATTACTTTTTCCTTGAAATGGTGATGGATTGCCCTCCAAACACCTATCCAGAGGTAAGTGAAATAGGCACCTGCCCTAAGGTCCTAGGAAGCGACAACATACCTGTGTTTGATGATGGTGTCATCACTTGCATTCCTATACAATCCTGGAAAGAGTGAAATGAATATTTACTTTTTAATTGCTCGTTAACATTTAATTAGCACATACTAGTACCATGACGAAACCAGCAGCAAAACTGAAAAATATGCAGCAATGTCTTTATTTTGCTTCTCGCATAGCTACACTTCTGTCACACACTTCACTTCATTTGGTGGGGAAACTGGAAAAGACCTCAGGGGAAGACCTGACAATCTACATAGGACTGGAAAGGATGTACACCATTAGGTAGCCTGGACTTAAAAGAACATAGTAGTTACATGTTGTTGCAAGATATTATTCCCTTGTGTCTCATAGCAGCCAACAAGGTATCTTCATAAGAGAAAATAATCATTATAAATAGAACCTATTACATTTTAAAGGAAACAAGCTACTTGTATGGGGTGACTACGATGGGAAAACCAACCAGGATAGAGTATGTTTCTCTAATTTCAACAGAATTGGAAGAGACCACAAGGGCCATTCAGGAACACACACTCAAAGCATCCCCAACAGATAGCTAATAATAATAATAATAATAATAATAATAATAATAATAATAATCTGACACAATACGAGGATTTAAAGATTGAACTATAAAGACTCTGGCACAAGCCAGTCAAGGTGGTCCCAGTGGTGATTGGCACACTGGGTGCAGTGCCTAAAGACCTTGGCCTGCACTTAAACACAATCGGCACTGACAAGATTACCATGTAGGATAAAATATAGGAAAAAGTGCAATGGATAAGAGGACACTGTTCTTGCTTGTGATCTATATTGTCAAATAAAGAAGCACACATTATTCACCAGTACATCACACAGTCCTAGACACTTGGGAAGTGTCCGACGTGTGATCCAATACAACAACCAGCAGAGTAATCTTGTCTACTGTGGACTCATCTTGTTGTGTTTCAAATAATAATAATAATAATAATAACAACAACAACACTTTATTTATATTCTGCTGTATCTTCCCGAGAGGAGTCAGAACAGATTACAACATACACAGATAGGCAAACATTCAATGCCTTTAATACAGTGGAATAACAATGACACACAAATACACAAAACAAATGTAAAACTTCCTCTTTTATCTCTGGCTTCTGGAGGCAGTGCTCAACTCTAGCCATGGGGAAGTGCTATTGTTCCATTTCCAAGTCAAGGAGACTGTTGCCCATAGACACCTCCTAGTCATGTTGCCAGCATGGCTGCATGGGTGCCTTTATTACCTTCCTGCCCAAGCGGTACCCATTGATCTACTCACCTTTGCATGTTTACAAACTACTAGGTTGACAGGAGCTAGGACTAACAGTGGGGGCTCACCCCAACCAATGGCTTTGAACTGCCAACCTTTAGGTCAGCCGTTTCAACAGTACAACAGTTTAACCCATTGCATCACTCTGCTTAAAATGCTCCCAAGAGGGACCACCCCATTTATCAGAGGCCTGTGTTGCTCTGCCCATTGATCATTTGTGCAACCAAGTGTAAGGTAACACCATTGAATGTCAACCTTTTTTGATACCACTATGTTCAGATCCTATACCTTTCTCACCTTCGCCAAGGGCATACTGCCGCCCTGTGCTGTATTGCCTGGCTTCCTGTTGGCAAACGTAAACAGCCAGCACCATCAGCATGATCCAGAGGGCCGAGCCCATGCTGGCAATGAAGACAGGCTGGCGCACCACTTCCAAGATGTAATTGCTGGCCAAGGAGTCTGAGGTCTTTGCCATCTTCCCCACTGAAGATTCTGGATAGGAACAAGACGGCATGGCCATGAAAGCCTCATCACAACAAAGCACTCTGAATATACTCAGGAACATTTCCCATTCAGCAGGAGGAAGGAGCTTGGCTCAGAGGTAAAACACTATACAAAACCCCAACATCATTTCAGCATAGCTTTAAAATCCACTAGTGGATTTGCAACCCCTATACCAGTGGTTCTCAACCTGTGGGTCCCCGGGTGTTTTGGCCTACAACTCCCAGAAATCCCAGCCAGTAAGGATTTCTGGGAGTTGAAGACCAAAACATCTGGGGACCCACAGGCTGAGAACCATTGCTCTACACTGAACACAAATGGAATACGGAATATGTGGAGCAGCGGTCAATGAACCTGGCTGACAATCCAAGGTGCCGAGACAATGCACAGAAGTCATGCATATTCTCCTGCAACTCTGTCTTCTTTAATGTTTTGTGCATGCTCTTCTTACAGCACCATCAGATAGATATGACTATTACACATTGGATAAAAAGTCCATTCTGCATGTGTAGCACATCTTAAGGTAAAGATAAAGGTTTTCTCCTGACATTAAGTCCAGTTGTGTCCGACTCTGGGGTGTGGTCCTCATCTCCATTTCTAAGCCAAAGAGTTGTCCGTAGACACCTCCAAGGTCATTTGGATGGCATGACTACATGGAACGCCGTTACCTTCCCACCAGAGCGGTACCTATTGCTCTACTAACATTTGCATGTTTTCGAACTGCTAGGTTGGCAGAAGCTGGGGCTGGCAGCGGAAGTTTACGCCGCTCCCTGGATGAGAACCTGCAACCTTTTGGGCAACAAGTTTAGCAGCTGAGTGGTTTAACCCACTGTGCCACCGAGGGCTCCTGTAGCACATCTTAGAGCTGTGTAAATCCCAAAAAGGATGGCTTGTATTGTATGCACACTTGAGGATGTTGGTTTGATCCATGAGCCATTTTGTATCCCATGCTGGAAGTAAAGTAGGATATACAGCAGGCATTTGGTGTCCATGGGAGTTTTGTTCTAGGACTCCATACAGATAGCAAAAGAGAGAGAGAGAGAGAGAGAGAGAGAATTCTGGAATCCCTATTATTTAAAATGCATTTCTTCCTTCTGATTGTTCTCCTTTCTGTTGGTGAGCTCTTCAGAGGTGGAGAACGATGACCTAGTGCCTTTCCACCACCTCCATTTTGAATCTATGATGGGTTGAACTCATAGATATGGAAGGCTTGTTGTTGTTCATTCGTTCAGTCGTCTCCGACTCTTCGTGACTTCATGGACCAGTCCACGCCAGAGCTCCCTGTTGGCCGTCACCACCCCCAGCTCCTTCAAGGTCAGTCCAGTCACTCCATCCATCTTGCCCTTGGTCGGCCCCTCTTCCTTTTGCCTTCCACTTTCCCCAGCATAATTGTCTTCTCTAGGCTTTGCTGTCTCCTCATGATGTGGCCAAAGGACTTCAACTTTGTCTCTAGTATCCTTCCCTCCAATGAGCAGTCGGGCTTTATTTCCTGGAGGATGGACTGGTTGGATCTTCTCGCAGTCCAAGGCACTCTCAGCACTTTCCTCCAGCACCACAGCTCAAAAGCATCGATCTTCCTTCGCTCAGCCTTCCCTAAGGTCCAGCTCTCACATCCGTAGGTTACTACCGGGAATACCATGGTTTTGACTAGGCGGCTTACTATACCTTTAATGAATTAATTAATAGAAAGAACATTACATTTAAAAAATGTAGGGAAAAGTGCAATGGATAAGAGGCCACTGTTTCTTGCTTGCGATCCATATTGTCAAATAAAAAAGCTGTGAAGGAATTTAGTGTATCTGAAACCTAAGAGATCAATTACAAAATACCACCTCTGACCTGCAGCACTGCATACTGGATTACTAGCCATGCCAATTCCAGCTCCGTTGACTGCTGCTACCTGGACACAGTATTTCAGTCTGTTAATCAGTCCTGTTGCTTCCAGGCTATGCATTCCTGCATCGACTGTCTTATTGAATCCATGATGAGTTTCATTGCCCAAGACCCAGACCTGTAAACAAGGAGCAATACAAAATCACTAGATTTTAAGGACTCAGAGCAGTGCGAAACAACATTTCAACAAAACGATAGTACACAAGAAAGAAAACCAATATTATTTTTGAGGGCATGCAGCTAAAAATGTTGTAGCACATAGTAATAAAGCCAGTAATGGCTGGAGGCTCCCATAATAATGGGATGGTCAGTCCAGTATCAGTTTAACTCAAGGAACTCTCCAAGGTGCTGAACTTATCTGGGGGATGTGAGCTCAACCTGCTCCCCTAAAAGTCTGTCTAAAACTCAGAATCAATTCACTGTTTCGCTGACAACAGCCAGCACTGTACAAAGCAGCACTAGAACTTTAATAAATTCAGTCAATCCACCAGATTCATATGTGTAATATAGAGAAAACAAAACAGAACAGAAATGCTAGCACAGCAGTTCCCTGAAGGACATTCACTGGCTATCAGTTGAAGTGCTGCAGCTTCAGTTTGCTACATTTCCCCATCAAACCTCTTTTCTCATCTGCCCTTGATTTTGTACTGTTAATATTTTCCTTGAGATGCTTTCAGTTCTTTATCACCTCCTAGGTTGTTTCAGAAAAATATCTATTTCTGCTTCATTGACTATTCTAAAGCCTTTGACGGTGTGAATCATAACAAATTGTGGCAAGCTCTTGGTGGGATGGGCATCCCAAGCCACCTTGTCTCTCTCCTGAGGAATCTGTACAAGGACCAAGTAGCAACAGTCACAACTGACCACAGAACAACAGACTGGTTCAAGATTGGGAAAGGCGTACGGCAAGGCTGCATACTCTCACCCAATCTTTTTAACTTGTATGCAGAATACATCATGCGATGTGCGGGGCTTGATGAATGCAAAGCTGGGGTGAAAATTTCTGGAAGAAACATTAACAACCTCAGATATGCAGATGACACCACTTTGATGGTCGAAAGCGAGGAGGAGCTGAGGAGCCTTCTAATCAAGGTGAAAGAAGAAAGCGCAAAAGCTGGGTTGCAGCTAAACATAAAAAAAACCAAGATTATGGCAACAAGAATGATTGACAACTGGAAAATAGAGGGAGAAAATGTGGAGGTCGTGACAGACTTTGTATTTCTAGGTGCAAAGATGAGTGCTGATGCAGACTGTGGCCAGGGAATCAGAAGACGCTTCCTTATTGGGAGGAGAGCAATGTCCAGTCTCAATAAAATAGTAAAGAGTAGAGACATCAGACTGGCAACCAAGATCCATTGCCTAGTCAAAGCCATGGTATTCCCTGTAGTCACCTACAGATGTGAGAGCTGGACCTTAGGGAAGGCTGAGCGAAGGAAAAGAGATGCTTTTGAACTGTGGTGTTGGAGGAAAGTTCTGAGAGTGCCGTGGACTGCGAGAAGATCCAACCAGTCCATCCTCCAGGAAATAAAGCCCGACTGCTCATTGGAGGGAAGGAGACTAGAGACAAAGTTGAAGTCCTTTGGCCACATCATGAGGAGACAGGAAAGCCTAGAGAAGACAATTATGCTGGGGAAAGTGGAAGGTAAAAGGAAGAGGGGCCGACCAAGGGCAAGATGGATGGATGGCATCCTTGAAGTGACTGGACTGACCTTGAAGGAGCTGGGGGTGGTGACGGCCGACAGGGAGCTCTGGCATGGGCTGGTCCATGAGGTCACGAAGAGTCGGAGACGACTGAATGAATGAACAACAAAGGTGAGTGCCAGAATTCCCCAAATGTTGGAAGTGAAGCAGTGCCAGCCCTAGATAGTACTTAGATTTATTTATTTATCGTGTCAGAAGCAAATTGAGGGTACAGTTGTAATGTATTTAAAAACACAAAGTTATAAACTTGGCATTATATTAAATGTGCTTTGACCAGAAGCTGGCCACCTGGAGTGCCTTGTGTATCACTGTGAGAAAGTCCTCCATTGTATGTGTGGCAGGGCTCAGGTTGCATTGTATGAGGGTTGAATGAAAAATAATGCCTCCACATTTGCAACTCCTCAACAGATGGCAGTACCGTTATGCGGCAGGTACTGGCTTGTTCAGTAGACTCTCCTCTACAGTTCCATTTCACAGGAAGCCTTAGCATTGAACGGTTATGTTGTTAAAGTGTAAAGTACGGAACCCTGCACAGACGGTTGGTCAATGTGACTTAAGTCATTGAATTCTTGACAGCAGAAGGTGTCACCTCAAAGGAGATCAGAGAATGCAAGATGTTTATGATGATTGTGTTGATGTGAGTACTGTGTGTCATTGGGTGAGAAAGTTTAAAGATGTTGAGGTGGGAATATCTGACTTGCTTGGCCAACAGTTGGACGTCCTGTGACAGCAACCACTGTGCTTCACAAGCAAAAGTTTGACAGATTGATTCAGGACGATCTAAAGTCAGAGAGAAATTTCAAGCATAATCGGCATTTCACAAGAATGTGTGGGTCACATTATTGCTTTGCTTGGTTATCAGAAGATCTGTGCATGATGGGTACCCAAGATGCTGACGCCCGAAATGAAAGCACACAGATTTGAAACTTCAGAGACTGGATCTCACCACCATACGACATCCTCCATATAGTCAAGATTTAGCGCCATCTGACTTCCATCTGTTCCTGATAATTAAAGAAGATCTGTGGGGACATCATTATGAAGGTGTTGAGAGAACTGTGAGATGATGGTTGCAGAAACAGGGTGTCAACTTCTTCTATGACGGCTTCAGAAAACTTTTTCATCATTGGCAAAAATGTATCCAATTGTCTGGTGATTATGTGGAAAAGTGAATAGTAGTAGTTAAAGAGCACATTCTAAGGATTATTTCTGTGTTTGATTAAAATATATTACCATCCAAACCCAAGTAACGAAGGTGGAGGCATTATTTTTCATTCAACCCTCGTAGTCTGTGGTTTGTTCTTCTATGCACTTGCATGTTGTGGACTCTGCTTTGTGGCCCCATTTCTTAAGGCTAGCTCTGCATGCCATGGTGCCAGAGTACAGCCTGTTCAGCACGTTCCAGGTTGCCCAGTCTTCTGTGTGCCCAGGAGGCAGTCTCTCATCTGGTATCAATCACTGAGGTTCCAGGTTTTTGCCTGCCACTTTTGGACTCTTGCTTGCTAACGTGTTCCTGCGAGTATCACTGTAGATCTTAGGAAGCCATTTCTTGATTTAAGACATTAGTATGCTGGCTGATATCCAAACAGAGATGGGCTGGAGATGTCACTGCCTTGGTCCTTTCTCTACAGGCTGCTACTTCCCGACAGAAGTCAGGTGGTGCAATATAGGCTAAACAGTATAATTTCTCCAATGGTGTAGGGCAGGGGTAGGGAACCTTTGGCCCTCCAGCTGTGGTGGACTTCAACTCCCACAATTCCTTGAGGCTCGGCATTCGCTCCAAAGGCTTACCTTGGCCCAATGCCGAGCCTCAAGGAATTGTGGGAGTTGAAGTCCACCACAGCTGGAGGGCCAAAGGTTCCCTACCCCTGGTGTAGGGTATAGACATCCTGTGATAATGCAGCATATCTCATTAAGAGCCACATCTACTGTTTTAACGTGGTGAGATGTATTCCACACTGGGCATGTGTATTCAGCAGCAGAGTAGTAAAGTGCAAGGGCAGATGTCTTCACTGTATCTGGTTGTGATCCCCAGGCTGTGCCAGTCAGCATTCATATGATGTTATTTCTAGCACCCACTTTTTGCTTGATATTCAAGTAGTGCTTCTTATAAGTCAGAGCATGGTCAAGAGTAACTCCTAAGTAACATCTAAGTAAGTACTTAGATGGGAGACCGATAACAAATACTGTGTGCTGTAGGCTATATTTCAAAGGAAGGAAATGACAAAAGTGTTTCTTACCTTTAAAAACACACCTATGAAATCCATGGGGGTCATCATAAGTTAACAAGTGACTTGAATACACATACAGAGAGAGAGAGAGAGAGGTTCCCAACCTGTGATTTGCGCTCATTTCTCTTTACCTGGTAAGCTTTAATGATGCCATTGTGTGTTTCATGTGGAGGAGGTGCCCAGTGGATTATCACCGTCCCATTGCCATCTTGAAATGTAGTTATGCTGATGCTTTGAGGAGCACCACTTGGCACTAAAAAGAAAGGAAGCATTCATTTAAAACTTTCCATAGGGGGGAAAAAAGCACCAATTGCTGTGTAATTGCTGGAGTTACAGCAGACCCCACTCAATCACTTATCTTATATTCTAGCTTTTCTCCAAGAATTTGGTTCAATGCAACTTACAGGATGACAACAATGCATGCAAAGGCACATATTACTAAAAATATACAAAATATTAAATTTATTCCTGCACTGCATCTGAACCCAAAGGCTGCCCATATATCAAATAACAGGACCAGATTTTTAAATGCTTGTATGTTATTGTTATTGTTTATTTTTGTTGAGATTTATTTTACTGTTTTGTATTGATTATTTTGTTATTGCCTTTGTTTTATTGATGTACTGCGGACTTGGCCTCATGTAAGCCGCACCGAGTCCCTTGGGGAGATGGTAGCGGGGTACAAATAAAGATTATTATTATTATTATTATTATTATTATTATTATTATTATTATTTGATTGCTATCCAAAACCCTTGGAAAGGCCTGAAGCTACAGCCAGCTTCAGAAGATTTTAAAAGAAAATAGATTTAAAATGGTTCAAATAAGCAGAAGTGATCTTCGTTGCTAAGCGCATACATGGTTTTTAGATTCATTATGCTAAATAATAATAATAATAATAATAATAATAATAATAATAATAATACACTTTATTTATATTCCTCACTTCTACTCTAGGCAACTCAGAGCAAATTATAGAATTTACATAGACAGGCAAACATTCAATGAATTTACAATCACATGTGACACACGAACACAAACAAAAGCAAGGCTTCTCTTTTCATTTCCGGTTTTTGCTCATCTCTAAGTCTGGAAGGTGCTTTTTTCCATTTTCAAGCCAAGGAGCCTGCATTGTCCTATCCTGGTCATGTAGCCAGCAAGATTGTTTGGAGCGTCTCTTTGCCTTTTCCTGCCAAAGCGGTACCTTTTTATCTATTCACATTTCCATGTTTTTGAACTACTAGGTTGGCAGGAACCAGGGCTGACAGATGGGAGCTCACCCCATCTCATGGATTTGAACTGCCAACCTTCAGGTCAGTAGTTCAGCAGCACAAGGGTTTATCTCAGAGGTTCTCAAACTTTTTAAAAATAGGGCCAGTCACAGTCCCTCAAACTGTTGGAGGGCCAGATTATAATTTGAAAAAAAAAAAAACATGAATGAATTCCTATGTACACTGCACATATCTTATTTGTAGTGCAAAAACACTTTAAAACAATACAATAATTAAAATTAAGAACAATTTTAACAAATATAAACTTATTAATATTTCAATGGGGAGTGTGGGCCTGCCTTTGGCTGATGAGATAGGATTGTTGTTGTTGTGTGCTTTCAAGTCGTTTCAGACTTAGATTGACCCTGAGCGAGGGCCAGGTAAATGACCCTGGAGGGCCAATTCTCTCATTGGTGGGATTCAAAATGCTTTTTGTAGGTGAACTATAAATCCCTGCAACTACAACTCCCAAATGTCAAGGTCTATTTTCCCCAAACTCCACCAGTGTTCACATTTGGGCATATTGAGTATTTGTGCCCAAGTTTGGTCCAGATCCATCATTGTTTGGGTTCACAGTGCTCTTTGGATGTAGGTGAACTACAACTCCAAAACTCAAGGTCAATGCACACCAAATCCTTCTAGTACTTTCTGTTGGTTATGGGAGTTCTGTGTGGCAAGTTTGGTTCAATTCCATCGTTGGTAGAGTTCAGAATGCTAAACTATAAATCCCAGCAACTACAACTTCCAAATGACAAGATCCATCCTCTCCCAACCTCACCAGTATTCAAATTTGGGCGTATTGAGTATTTGTGCTAAATTTAGTCCAGTGAATACATCCTGCATATCAGATATTTACATTACAGTTCATAACAGTAGCAAAATTACAGTTTGCGTTTGCATACCTTCTTCTGGGATCCAGAGGTGTCTCATATTGCTGTCCAAGCCACGGCCTTTCTCTGAATATGGTCGCACCTTGAATTCATAGGTATAGCCTCTCTCAAGTCCTGCAATAATAGTACGGTGGTCTCTTGGCACATTCCATTCATCCCAGTCTGTGACCACAGGCAGCAGAGAGCGGTAGAAGACCACAAAACTTTCTACATTCTTGGTCTGGCTGGTAGGGATGAGCTTTAAAGCAATAGATAGGAAATGTGATTTTACGTCCAAAGTTCAGTTCTGAGAGAATATAGATTACTAGCCACTGAAAGATCTGTTACTCAGCACCATCTACACTGCCATATAATGCAAATGGATGACGAATCTGGATCATGGAGTGCCGCAGGGTTCCGTCCTGGGCCCGGTCCTGTTCAACATCTTTATTAATGACTTAGATGAAGGGCTAGAAGGCATGATCACCAAGTTTGCAGACGACACCAAATTGGGAGGGATAGCCAATAGTCCAGAGGACAGGAGCAGAATTCAAAACGATCTTGACAGATTAGAGAGATGGGCCAAAACTAACAAAATGAAGTTCAACAGTGACAAATGCAAGATACTCCACTTTGGCAGAAAAAATGAAATGCAAAGATATAGAATGGGTGACGCCTGGCTCGAGAGCAGTACGTGTGAAAAAGATCTTGGAGTCCTCGTGGACAACAAGTTAAACATGAGCCAACAATATGATGTGGCGGCAAAAAAAGCCAATGGGATTTTGGCCTGCATCAATAGGAGCATAGTGTCTAGATCTAGGGAAGTAATGCTACCCTCTATTCTGCTTTGGTTAGACCACACCTGGAATATTGTGTCCAATTCTGGGCACCACAATTCAAGAGAGATATTGACAAGCTGGAATATGTCCAGAGGAGGGCGACTAAAATGATCAAGGGTCTGGAGAACAAGCCCTATGAGGAGCGGCTTGGGAGCTGGGCATGTTTAGCCTGAAGAAGAGAAGGCTGAGAGGAGACATGATAGCCATGTATAAATATGTGAGAGGAAGCCACAGGGAGGAGGGAGCAAGCTTGTTTTCTGCTTCCTTGGAGACTAGGACGTGGAACAATGGCTTCAAACTACAAGAGAGGAGATTCCATCTGAACATGAGGAAGAACTTCCTGACTGTGAGAGCCGTTCAGCAGTGGAACACTCTGCCCCGGAGTGTGGTGGAGGCTCCTTCTTTGGAAGCTTTTAAACAGAGGCTGGATGGCCATCTGTCAGGGGTGATTTGAATGCAATATTCCTGCTTCTCGGCAGGGGGTTGGACTGGATGGCCCATGAGGTCTCTTCCAACTCTTTGATTCTATGATTCTATGATTCTATTTGCTAATGACGACAGTGAATGGGTTTTGTAGTAACTGTTTATTAATTGTGTAATGTGTTAGGTTGTTAACTGTTTTTATACTGTAGCATTGAATCTTTGCTGTTCTTGTGTGTTGTGAACCACTGTGAGTCGCCTTCTGGCTGAGAACAACGGTATATAAGTAAGGTAAATAAATAAATAAATAAATAAATAAATCCGAAACTACATTACGTGGTCAGTATAGATTCATATAATGCAGTGTAATGCAGTTTAACTATATTTTATGAGCCTACCCTGACCATATAATGCAGCTTCAAGCTATTATATGCCAGGGTTGCTTTGAATTTTTCAGGCTACATGACCATGTTCCAGAAGCATTCTCTCCTGACGTTTTGCCCACATCCATGGCAGGCATCCTCAGAGGTTGTGAGGTCTCTTGAAAATTAGGCAACTGAGGTTTATATATCTTTGGAATGTCCAGGGTAGGAGAAAGAACTCTTGTTTGCTTGAGGCAGGTGTGAATGTTGCAATTGGCCACCTTGATTAGCATTTAATGGCCTTGCAGCTTCAAAATCTGGCTGGTTGCAGCCTGGGGGATCCTTTATATGGCAGTGTAATGGGGCCGTAGTCTCTTATTTCATTCTCATTTTGCCACTATGAAGTGCTTTCTACGCTTTTTTCTAATATATTTGAAATAATTATTTCTATATAGTGTATGCACACTTCTTCAAATGTACTTTTTTCCCAAGGCAGTTTTCTCCATTCTGGAAAACATTTTTGTTGACATTTTTCAAAATATATGTATATTGTACACAGTATGCACATTTTCAGAAGTATGCAGATAAGTGCAGTTTTGTTTTTTAAAAAACCAAGCAAATAGATTGAGGAAATAAATAAACAACAAATACATAAATAATTAGCAAATTAAAATTAAAATCCATAATTCTGTCAAACATTTCACAGGTGATATATTAAAGCCAGTCTAAACAATTTAGTAATTTAGCCCCCGGTGGCGCTGTGGGTTAAACCCCTGTGCCAGCAGGACTGAAGACCGACAGATCACAGGTTCGAATCCAGGGAGAGGTGGATGAGCTCCCTCTATCAGCTCCAGCTCCTCATGCGGGGACATGAAAGAAGCCTCCCACAAGGATGATAAAACATCAAATCATCCTGGCGTCCCCTGAGTAATGTCCTTGCAGACGGCCAATTCTCTCACACCAGAAGCGACTTGCAGTTTCTCAAGTCGCTCCTGACATGACAAAAAAAAGGAATTATAAATGTGAAGATCTGTTAAACTTCAAAATTAACTTTTCAGGTTTAAAAACTTTGCAGGAATGTAGTGAACACCTACTGGATTTTTAACAAAATGTAATTGAATAAATATAGACAAATTACTGTTGGGACCAAACTATAAAAGTGTTACAAAATCCTTTTTGGTTTACAGCTCTTAGGTGCGATCCACACTGCCCTATATCCCAGGATCCAATCCCAGATTATCTGATTATCCCATATTATTTGGCAGTGTAAACTCATATAATCCAGTTTAAATCAGATAATCTGGGATCAGATCCTGGGATATAGGTCTGTGAAGATCCAGCCTTAGAATCCTCTATTCAATATATTTGCTAATCATAGGAGATTCTGAAAAGTTTTCTACAAACAATAACTTTTATGTGCACTGGTTAGGACTGGTTGCAAGATAATTGTTTGCCTTCAAGATCCATTTTGACTCAGTAAAATCCTGAAGTAATTTTTTTAAAGCAATTAGTAGTTCCATCTACATACCTTCCAGTGTAGATGAGCTGCCGGAGCAGAAGGGACGGCAGTGACATTAATGAGGTAAACTCTGGCACTCATTAGTTCCTTCGGGGCAACTTCTGATGCATCCTGCTCCCTCTGACCAGTGTCCAGTGGATCTAGAGACCCAGAAAAAAACCTAAAATGTATCCTTGGCGAACCCGAAGAGCTAGAAGGCATGATCATCAATTTTGCAGACGACACCAAATTGGGAGGGATAGCCAATACTCCAGAGGACAGGAGCAGAATTCAAAACCATCTTGGCAGATTAGAGAGATGGGCCAAAACTAACAAAATGAAGTTCAACAGTGACAAATGCAAGATACTCCACCCTGGTTAATCCTGTAGATAAAGTTTCTTACCCTCAATAGTTAAAGTTGCTTTGGAAGAGATAGTTCCTGCATCATTATGACAAAATCATATTTTTTGAGTGATGGTCACTCATTGTGTTGTGAGACATTTTGTTGCCAAATTTGGTGTGATTTCATTCATTGTTTCTTTTGTTTTTAAGGTACTCATTTTGCACACAGCATTTATATATATATAGATAATAATAATAATAATAATAATAATAATAATAATAATAATAATAACACTTTATTTATATTTTGCTTATCTCCCCAAGAGAACTCAGGGCAGATCACGGTACACATACACGGCAAACGTTCAATGCCGTTTTGGACAGACAAGAAAGTCAGAACAGAAAGGAGGTATGCTGTGTCAACGTCCAGCTTTTTGGAGGCTTGGAGGTTGTGCTCGAATCTAGCCACAGGGGGAGCTGTCACTCCATCCTCTATGACTAAGAGCCATCAGGACTTCCTCCTTCATTTGGGTCACCAGGCATTTTCTCATCTTTTTCTTTGAAGTGTCATAAAATACCTCCCCCGCTTGTTTAGTTTTATCTAATTACTCTACTTGCAGCTCAAGTTGTTTTTGAACTGCTTAGATAAACAATGAGCTGGGCTTACAGTCGGGCACTCATGCTGACCACCTTCGGTTGGTAGATCTTATCATTGCTGGTGATTTACCAGCTGCGCTAAAGCCCAGCCCATATTGAGGAGGAAGATCCTACAAGCTGGATGAGATTGCAACTATAATAATAATAATAATAATAATAATAATAATAATAATAATCTTTATTTATATCCTGCCACCATCTCCCCGATGGGGACTCAGGGTGGCTTACATGAGGCCAAGCCCTACAGAACAATACAATAAATGAAGTCAAAAACACAAACAATAGCATGATAAATTACATAAAACATAAAATACAACAAGCAATATAAAATTAAAATAAAATCATCCATAACACAGTAACAGTGTTGTTACTATGGCTGTTAAAGTGGCATCATAATACCATACTTTTCTATACTATACTATATTAGAAGAAGCAGTAGCAATTATTTACAGCCCTCTGCTGGGACACAGATCTTGACAAGTGCCAAGTCCTGGTGCCAATCTTTTCGAGAGTAAGTATTGTCCTGGTTAATCCTGTAGATAAAGTTTCTTACCCTCAATAGTTAAAGTTGCTTTGGAAGAGATAGTTCCTGCATCATTATGAGCAGTGCAGATGTATTTGCCTGCATCATTTATGGTCACATCATGAATCTGAAGGATGTTTTCTTGGTTGACTTCATACCTGCAGGTGAAGATACAAGATGCTTGGTTGTCACATGTCCGCCCATTACTCAACTCCGCAGTGATTACCCAACAAAAATGTATATCTTTACACTTTTGGGGGTAAAGGGGCAAGCACAGATCATATGCCACATCAAATACTAAACTCTTGGTTCAATAAGTAAATACATCATTTTCTAGAGCCGAACGTTCCCATAGTCTCCAACCACTGATAATGCTGACTGGGGCTGAGAACAATGGTCCAAACCATCTAGATCAGGCAGGGACAAAATTGGGCCTTTGAGGTGTTTTTGAATTATTTATTATTTAGTAGCCAATCCCTGCCATGCCCCACACATGGGGGTTCTGTGTGGGAGGTTTGGCCCAATTCTATCGTTGGTGGGGTTCAGAATGATCTGTGATTTTAGTGAACTATAAATCCCAGCAATCTCTTGACCAAGGACAAGAGGGAGGGGGCTGACCTGATCTCATTAGGAAGGGAGTTCCATAGCCGAGGGGCAATCACTGAGAAGGCCCTGTCTGTCGTCCCCGCCAAACGCACCTGTGATGGTGGCGGGACCGAGAGCAGGGCCTCCCAGAAGAGCTTAATCTCCGCAGAGGTTCATGGGGGAGATGTGTTTGGACAGGTAGGACAATTCCTAACAGTGTCTGATTCCTAATTTCTAATTTAAGTGGCTGAGGGGGAAAAGGAAGAGACCTGAGGCTGTTAGAAGTTCTGGGAGTTGAAATCCAAAACACCTCAAAGGCCTAAGTGTGTCCAGGCCTGATCTAGAGGCTTAGGTTTCCCACCTTTGGTATGTGCAGAGATTATGGTGAGTGCTCTCTCCATCTCCTCGTCAATATTCCTAATCCAATCTAAAACCAACTGAGTGGTTTAATTTATTTATATCCACTTTCTACTTTCACAAGTCATGAGAAAGTTGTGGCAGCACCAAAAGAGAAAGGAATTCCAAATACAACAAATTATGCTCACCTTCCTGCAGGCATCTCTCCGTCCTCCTTGTACCATTGCACCACTGGGGTTGGGTCTCCATGGATTCCACACATGAACTGCACAGTGCTGCCAGGTTTAGCTTGAACATCATTAGGTCGTCGGCTGAATGTTGGCTTCTCTAGAATGGGAGATTGGGACAATTCAATCAAAATAAAATCTTGATGGCAGTTCTCAACAATGTAGGAATTAAATGGAGTCCCTTTTCGTGGATCTTAACCAGCAGAAATCATTTTCATCCATGGTGCTACCTGAATAGTATCCTCTACTTTTTGTTTCTGGGTCCACTAAAGCAATGGATCCTCTGAAGATGCCAGCCACACATGCAGGTGAAACATCAGGAAAAAATGCCTCTAGAACACGACCATACAGCCCGGAAACCACACAACACCTCATTGTTGCTGTTCTTATTAGCCATCATCAACTGCTCTGTTTGGGTCTAGCAATCTCCCTTTAATGTGCTGTCCCTCTTTTCCTATTGCCTCCCATTCTACCAAATATTACAATATTTTCCATGTATTATTTCATGTCACCATAGGTTCAAAGTCTGCAGAAACAGAAGTAAGCTAAGGAGAAAGGGGGGTGTAGAAGGAGATAAAAACAAGGACATTTTGAAAACATCTGAAAAAATGGATTGACAAAAGAGTTGTGCACAGAATTACTTTCTCCCTTCTTTTTGTTTCTTTTGGTTCTATGGGAGCACAAAATGGGAAGTTCCCTCCCCGCATGAAAATTAGCTCAACACGAAAGCAAGCTGGAGCTGAGCCCGGCTTCAAGCCTGCTTTCGCCTTCACATGAGCGCCTCCCAGAATGTATTTATTTAGCTAGGGCTTTTATATCCCGTCCTTTCTCAACCTCCATAGAGGGACTCAGGACGGCTAACAAAGTGGCACCCCATGGCGCTCACATCAAAACATAAATATACAATTAACAGCAATGTAATAATAACAGCAATATAAAACAGCATAAACAGTATAAAACCGTATAAACAATATAAAAACAGATACCAACAGTCAGCAGTCACCGATTTAAATCATTATCCAAGGGCAGTCCATCAGTTCTAAATAAGTCAACTTGCCTCCTTACCTTGGAAAGAGAGTGTATGTGTGTGTGCAGAGGCGGCCCTAGGTAATTTTCAATGGTAAGCAAACAGTATTTTGGTGCCGCCCCAACCAATCACTGATATATATTTTCTGTTCGTCATGGGAGTTCTGTGTGCCATATTTGGTTCAATTCCATCATTGGTGGAGTTCAGAATGTTCTTTGATTGTAGGTGAACTATACATCGCAGTAACTACACTTGCCGCATTTGTTCCCTTGCCTGGCCCACTTTGGGTCCGGAGGCGTGCCTGAAGACCCCGGCGTGTGCACCAAAAGTCACCTCTTCTCCTGACTTTCTCCTCAGCCATTGGGACCAAGAGAGAGAGAGAGAGAGAGAGGTGGAGATGCCCACCTTTCCTGAAGGTAGGCGCAAAAACAAAGGAGGGAGCGGAGGTGGGAGATACCTCCAGCCGGAGGGGCTCTCTCTCTCTCTCTCTCTCTCTTGGTCCCAATGGCTGAAGAGAAAGTCAGGAGAAGAGGCGACTTTTGGTGCGCACGTTGGGGTCTTCAGACACGCCTCCGAACCCAAAGTGGGCCAGGCGCGGCGGCTCCGCTCCTTGGCCCACCTGCGGATTGGGGAGAGGAGAGGAGGCGGGTGGAGCGCCGGGGGATCGGGAAAGGGAGCCGGTCATGGGGAAGGGATAGAACGCAGAGAACAATTGAGCGCCGGCTCTGCTTGTGCACCCGGTGGCCAGGTGGAGCAGGAATGAGATGGGCTAGGGGTGGCTCAAGGGCCCAGCCCCTTTGGGAAGAGGATCGCCCAGCAGCGAGGCAAGAAAGCCGAGTCTCCCCCCGGACTGCTAGGGCTGTTGTGAGCTGAGGGGGTGCTCCTCAAGTGGTGGCCGAGGGGCATTTACAGAGGCGCCTCTGCGCCCCTGACAAAAAAAGTGTTCTGCGACCGCTTACTTTGTGTAATGGACAAGCCGCCCCTGTGTGTGTGTGTGATGTGCAAACCCAGAAAACGCGTGCACCTACACCAGTGTCTACAGCCTACTCTGGAGCAAGACACACTTGGCTGCAGGTACTGGCAGGCATGCATCCTTTCTGGGCCTGCACACCATGCCACACACGCACTCTCCTTGAAAAGACAGTGCGTGTGTGGCATGCAGACCCAGAAAGTACCTCCTCTAGAGTAGAAACAGAAGGTAAGAAGAAGCCCCCTTAAATAAATAAATAAATAATATTATAATGTAATGCAATATAATACTACTACTAATAAGATATTATAATTATATATTTTATATTACATGTAATATTACTAATAATAATGGTATAGTACAATATAGTAATATATAATACTGATATTGTACTATGCTAATAATATAATATATTGTATGTACATATATATATATATATATATATATATATATATAATGTTTGTTTGTCGTGTCAGAGCAACCAGTCCATTATATTACATTTCTAACAGAACAAAGCAAACAGACAAATACAAAACTTGTGAGTTTGGTAGTTGGTTAAATGTCCTTTGACCAGTATCTGGCCACTTGGAGTGCTTCTGGTGTTGCTGCAAGAAGGTCCTCCATTGTGCATGTGGCAGGGCTCAGGTTGCATTGCAGCAGGTGGTCAGTGGTTTGCTTCTCCACACTCACATGTCGAGGATTCCACTTTGTAGCCCCATTTCTGAAGGTTGGCTCTGCATCTCGTGGTGCCAGAGCGCAGTCTGTTCAGTGCCTTCCAAGTTGCCCAGTCTTCTGTGTGCCCAGGAGGGAGTCTCTCATTTGGTATCAGCCATTGGTTGAGGTGCTGGGTTTGAGCCTGCCACTTTTGGACTCTCGCTTGCTGAGGTGTTCCAGCTAGTGTCTCTGTAGATCTTAGAAAACTATGTCTAGATTTAAGTCGTTGACGTGCTGGCTGATACCCAAACAGGGGATGAGCTGGAGATGTCTCTGCCTTGGTCCTTTCACTATTGGCTGCCACTTCCCGGCGGATGTCAGGTGGTGCAATACCGGCTAAGCAGTGTAATTTCTCCAGTGGTGTAGGGCGCAGACACCCCGTGATAATGCGGCATGTCTCATTAAGAGCCACATCCACTGTTTTAGTGTGGTGAGATGTGTTCCACACTGGGCATTCATACTCAGCAGCAGAGTAGCACAGCGCAAGGGCAGATGTCTTCACTGTATCTGGTTGTGATCCCCAGGTTGTGCCAGTCAGCTTTCGTATGATATTGTTTCTGGCACCCACTTTTTGCTTGATGTTCAGGCAGTGCTTCTTGTAGGTAAGAGAATGGTCCAGAATGACTCCCAGGTATTTGGGTGCGCTGCAATGCTCCAGTGGGATTCCTTCCCAGGTGATCTTCAGAGCTCGGGATGCTTCTCTGTTCTTGAGATGAAAGGCACATGTCTGTGTTTTAGATGGGTTGGGGATCAGCTGGTTTTCCCTGTAATAGGCAGTAAGAGCACCTAGAGCTTCGGAGAGCTTCTGTTCTACCGTCTCAAAGCTCCCTGCATGAGCAGTAATCGCACGATCATGAGTGACCAGCTGATGACAGAAGCGACCAGCATGCAAGTACATATCTCGTAAGCTGCTCTGAGTCTCCTTCGGCGTGAGAAGGGCGGGATCTAAATGTCGTAAATAATAAATAAATAAATAAATAAATAAACAAATAAATAAATAAAGTGCTTGTCTGGAAGGGGAGCCTGGGTGGGAAGATTTCCCCACATTATTTATTTATTTATTTATTTGCAGCATTTTTACCCCGCCCTTCTCAACCCCTGGGGGGGACGGGACTCAGTGGCTAACAAAGGCAGCAATAGAAATGGTCCAATAGAAAACTGATCTTCCGGGGTTCCAGAGCAAAAACAGAGATCTGCCTTCTCGATTTCAGGAGACTCACAAAAACAGATTGGGACCCCCCACCGAAAGTCAGGACACGAAACCAATTAAGGTTTACTCTGAATGCACAACCCTAGTTGACAGAGAATTAATTGGGGCACCAATTTTTACCAGTCAGTCCTAGATCTGTACTACAGTTTGAGAAAGCTACTGTTTTTGATTACATATTCCATTATGGACTTGTTGGACTCTGGGAACTCTAGGTGTTGGAGTTCATTGCAACCTCTTGTGTTCATTTATGGTTCAAAGACCCCAATCCCTAGGAAAGCATAGAAGCAAAATGCATGGGAACAATCACTATTGAGCTACTCACCCCAGACAGACACCACAGCTTCTCTGCTCGCTCTCTCCCCTGCTTGGTTGCTGGCCATACAAATGTATGTTCCCGAATCACTCCTCAGAGCATGGGATACCAGAAGCCTTCCTTTGGTGACCTATATAAATAGGGAGAAAAGAAAAGTATGGCTCTCCAGAGAAGCTACTTTGGTTTCTCTGGACAAGTGCAAGAGAGGATGCCAAGAATCAGGAACCTTTATACATATGTGGTGGCATATGTATATATTATGTAAATAATTTTTTAGGGAAAGTATTTAGAGAAATAGAGGATATAATGAACACTAAAATAGAAAGAAGTCCTAGTATAGCTTTATTATCATCATATAATAATTGAAAAAAGAGGATAAAGATAAACTTATTAACAACTAGCCATCCCCTGCCACGCGTTGCTGTGGCCCAGTCTGATGATCTGGAAAATAATATATGTAATTTCTTTATGCTTGCGGGTAAACTGTATTTCTTGCTGTTTTTTTGTCAGTGTTGTTGTGGAGATTGTCTGGTTTGCCTACTCTGGAACATGCAACATTATCATTATCCTTCTTTACGGGTCCCTTTCAAATCTATATCTCTCTGTGTGTGAATCATATATATCTATGACTTCATGGCTCTTTGTCAAAAGGGCTTTGATTACATTTTCTTGTCTTGATGAAGGGAGTTGTACTGGAGGGCCTTAAGTATTTTCTGTTGGTCACGGGGGTTCTGTGTGGAAAGACTGCCCCAATTCTGTCCTTGGTGGAGTTCAGAATGCTCTTTGATTGTAGGTGAGCTATAAATCCCAGTAACTACAACTCCCAAATGTCAAGGTCTATTTTCCCCAAACTCCATTTGTGTTCATAATTGGGCACATGGAATATCCGTGCCAAGTTTGGTCCAGATCCATCATTGTCTGAGTCCACAGTGCTCTCTGAATGTAGGTGAACTACAACTCCAAAACCAAAGGACACTGCCCACCAAACCCTTCTAGTGTTTTCTGTTGGTCATGGGAGTCCTGTATGCCATGTTTGGTTCAATGCCATAATTGGTGGAGTTCTGAATGCTCTTTGATTGTAGGTGAACTATAAATCCCAGCAACTACAACTCCCAAATGACAAAATCAAAATTTTTAGAGTGAAGGACATACATTGGGTTGTCAGGTGTATGCTGTCCAAATTTCTTGTCAATTGGCCCACTGGTTTTTGAGTTATGTTAATCCCACAAATGAACATTACATTTTTATTTATATAGACTAGCTGTCCCCTGTCACGTGTTGCTGTGGCCCACATGGGGGTTCTGTGTGGAAGGTTTGGCCCAATTCTATCGTTGGTGGGGTTCAGAATGCTCTGTGATTGTAAGTGAAGTATACATACCAGGAACTACAACTCCCAAATGTCAAGATTCTACTTTCCCCAAACTCCACCAGTGTTCACATTTGGGCATATTGAGTATTTATGTAGAGTTTGGTCCAGATCCATCATTGTTTGAGTCCACAGTGCTCTCTGGATGTAGGTGAACTACAACTCCCAAATTTAAGGTCAATGCCCACCAAACCCTTCTAGTGTTTTCTGTTGGTCATGGGAATTCTGTGTCCTAAGATTGGTTCAATTCCATCATTGGTGGGGTTCAGAATGCTCTTTGATTGTAGGTTAACTATAAATCCCAGCAACTACAACTCCCAAATGACAAAATCAATTTTTGAGTGATGGTCACTCATTGGGTTGTTAAGCATATTGTGTCCAAATTTGGTGTCAATTCATCCAGTGGTTTTTGAGTTCTGTTCATCCCACAAACAAATATTGCATTTTTATTTATATGGATTACCTCATAGTGGCCACTTTCCACATTTATTGGCACTCCATTCTTCTTCCATGAGATGACTGGCTCAGGATGTCCTTTTGGGGGAATACATTCTAGTGTGAAACGTTCTCCACTTGTTACCATCAAGTCACTGGGATGAAGCCGAAACTCTTCTTGAAGAGCTATAAGGCAATACAAATACTCCAATAAAACAAAATATTTGATGGGAGGATTTTCACTTAGAATCATAGAATCATAGAATCAAAGAGTTGGAAGAGACCTCATGGGCCATCCAATCCAACCCCCTGCCAAGAAGCAGGAATATTGCATTCAAATCACCCCTGACAGATGGCCATCCAGCCTCTGTTTAAAAGCTTCCAAAGAAGGAGCCTCCACCACACTCCGGGGCAGAGAGTTCCACTGCTGAACGGCTCTCACAGTCAGGAAGTTCTTCCTCATGTTCAGATGGAATCTCCTCTCTTGTAGTTTGAAGCCATTGTTCTGCGTCCTAGTCTCCAGGGAAGCAGAAAACAAGCTTGCTCCCTCCTCCCTGTGGCTTCCTCTCACATATTTATACATGGCTATCATATCCCCTCTCAGCCTTCTCTTCTTCAGGCTAAACATGCCCAGTTCCTTAAGATGCTCCTCATAGGGCTTGTTCTGCAGACCCTTGATTGTTTTAGTCGCTCTCCTCTGGACACATTCCAGCTTCTCAATATCTCTCTTTGCCATCATGTTTCTGTATTTGCCATAATATTTCATATTTCAGCAAAATAATTTGCCCTGAGAATCATCTGAGCAATGGTGTTGTGCCTCTGCTTGTAGTCTGTCTGCACGATCTTCTTCCAGTAGCTGAGGATCTGATCTATTGTTTCATCTGCTTCCTTGCAGAGTCTACACTTGGGATCTATCGTCGACTTTTCAGTTCTGGCTTTGATAGCCTTGGTTCAAATGGCTTGTTCTTAGGCTGCCGGAATCGGGCCCTCCTTTGTCTCCTTTTTCAGAGTTCCACTTGTGAGCCTCAGCCATGTTTTTTCTTTGTCAATTTGGCTCTCAATTTTTGCCAGGAACTGTCCATGGAGTGCCTTCTTTTGCCAGTTTTCTCTTCTGCTCTGGATTATTATTATTAATATTAATATTATTATTATTTTACTGACACAAAAGCACAGTATGTTACAGCAAATGGGATCTCTATGCTGGATTTCGTATCACAAAATCACAAGTCGAACATTATTATTATTATTATTATTATTATTATTTGAAACACAACGAGGTGAGTCCACAGCAGTCAAGACCACTCTGCTGGTTGTTGTAATGGATCACACTATTATTACTATTATTTATTATTTATTTATTTACTTTATTTGTATACCACTCTTCTCAGCCATTAGGCGACTCAGAGCGGTTAACAACAAGTAGCGGCAAAAATTCAATGCAAACATCGTACAGCCATTTAAAAAACAATTAACACAATAATACAGTAAGCAATTAACATCAATAACCATCAGTAAACATCAATAAACAACTCACTAGCGTCTCATAACTAAAATCATAATCCAAGCTCGTCATCCGTTGTTCCGATTTCCTATAATTCATTGTAATTCATTGCACTGCCTATTCAAACGCCTGTTCAAATAACCAGGTTTTCACTTTCTTCCGAAATGCCATTAATGAGGGAGCTGATCTGATGTCTGTGGGTAGGGCGTTCCACAGCCGAGGGGCCACCACCGAGAAGGCCCTGTCCCTCGTCCCCGCCAACCGTGCCTGAGTTGCAGGCGGGATCGAGAGCAGGGCCCTCCCAGAAGATCTTAAAGTCCTAGTGGGTTCATAGGTGGAGATGCATTCGGATAGGTAACTTGGGCCAGAACCGTTTAAGGCTTTATAGGCCAACGCCAGCACTTTGAATTGTGCCCGGTAGCAAATTGGCAGTATTATTATTATTATTATTATTATTATTATTATTATTATGCCTTATTATTATTATTATATTTATTATCATCGTCATTATTTTGATGGCTCTCTAATGTGCATGTTCCCATCCTCTATTAACTGGCCAATTGTGGTTTTCCCAGTGTTGTTGGGCTACAACTCACATTAGCCCTAGTGCACACAGCCAGTGGCAAAGGATGAAAGGAGGCCAGCAATATCCAGAGGGTATGCCCCATGCGTTCTTGCAAAATGACCTGCCACATACTGGGCCAGTGAAGCAATAACATGTGGCTATATATGGGAAGCTGCCTTAATTATTTCTTCTCCTTTGAACATAACAATTGCCTTGACAGCCTTAAAATGGAAACACAATCCGATAGGAAACCCCACAGAGAGCAGAGAGGGCTGCCTTTTCCCTTCCTATACAATCCACTGCCTGTTTCCTGCACCTATTCTGGCAGGAGGATGTGGGTCTATTTCTGATACAATCAAAACTCCAGGAGATGAGTCAAGTGCTTACATGCAGCAGCTACAAAATCATAATGTAGGATGTTATTGCTAGATATTTTTAGACTCTTGCTCCTCCCCCAGTTTTAGTTGTTTCCATGAAGCCGTCCTCCCAGTATCGACCACATTACAGCCCAGGAGAAATGATTTTGTGATTCTCTTACAAAGCAATGCAATATGCTTTGCCCCCAAGAAAGAAAGGTGCTATAGAACTTTGCTACAGTGATTGCCTTTTGCAACATCTGGAAGGAACATTACATTTAATTGCTGCAGAGCAAATTTCTAAAACTTGATTAAAGCTTTGACTTTCTGGGGTTTGGTGACTGGGACCAAATCTTACCCATTACTACCTTTTAAGCTGGCATACTTGAAATGAGAGTAAAAGAATCACAAAGGGACTGATTGGATTGTCTGCACGCCCATCTCTACCTGAAAACTCGATTGTTTTCTTATTGCTTATTTCTTATTGCTTTTACTGTTGATGTACTTTGGGCTTGGCCTCATGTAAGCCACACCGAGTCCCTTGGGGAGATGGTAGCGGGGTATAAATAAAGTATTATTATTATTAATATTATTATTATTATTATTCCCCTTACTCTTTAAGGGTATGGATGTGACTTAATTGGCGTTCCAAAGCTACGAGTAGGGGTGAGCTCCGACTGTCAGCTCTAGCTTCGGCCAACCTAGCAATTTTCAAAGCATGCAATGTGAGTAGATCAATAGGTACCACTCAACAGGACGGTAAAAGGGAGCTCCATGCAGATATGTAGACATGCCGGCAACACAATTGGAGATGTCTATTTATTTATTTATTATTCGAACTTATATGCCGCCACTCCCCTGGGGCTCGGAGCAGCTTACAAGAATGGCTAAAATCTAACACAATTTAAAAACAATTTAAAACAATTTAAAAACAGCAATATCAAAAATCAAAGGCCTGTCAAAACAGGTATGTCTTACATGCCCTGCAGAAAGCTGATAAGTCCCACAAGGCACGGACTTCAGGTGGCAGACTATTCCAGAGTGATGGTGCCACTGCTGTAAAGGCTCTGCGTCTGGTTGCTGTTAGACGCAAGGTCTTGACACTGGGAATTTCCAATAGATCTTGGTCCTCAGAACGGAGGGATCTCTGGGGTTGGTAGGGGGTGAGGCGGTCCCTCAGGTACATTGGCCCCAGACCATGCAAGGCCTTAAAGGGCAACAGTCTATGGGCAACAGCCTCCTCGGTATGGAAAAATGGAAGAAGAGCACCTCCCCATGGCTGGAGTTGAGCATCGCCTCCAGACACTGGAGATGGAAAAAGGGCCTTTACCTTCGTCTGTGTTGTATGTCTGTGTGTAAAAGGCATTTAATGTTTGCCTCATATGTGTATTGTAATCCACCCTGAGTCCCTTCAGGGAGAGAAAACGGAGTATAAATAAAGTGTATTATTATTATTTGGTGCCCCCGATGGTGAAGTGGTTTAAAGCACTGAGCTGCTGAGCTTGTTGACCGAAAGGTCACAGGTTTGAATCTGGGGAGTTGCGTGAGCTTCCGCTCTCAGCCCCCGCTTCTGCCAACCTAGCAGTACGAAAATATGCAAATGTGAGTAGATCAATAGGTACCACTCCGGCAGGGAAGTAACGACGTTCCATGCAGTCATGCCGGCCCCATGACCTTGGAGGTGTCTACGGACAACGCCGGCTCTTCGGCTTAAAAATGGAGATGAGCACCACACCCCAGAGTCATTCACGACTGGACTTAATATCAGGGGAAAACCTTTACCTTTACCTATTATTATTATTATTATTCAAATGAGAAGCAAGAGAGCTCCTAACATTAACACAAAACAAGGCCTGTGATTCCTCTGTATATAGAACTAATCTTTTTAGCATATAAAATATGTTTTTTTCCTTGAAAAAAAGCTATTAAAAAGAGATTGCTATCTTATAATAGACATCGCCAGGATTCAATAATAATAATAATAATAATAATAATAATGTTAAATAATAACAAATAACAACAACAATTTGATCATACTGATTATGATAATAGAGTCTCTTGTTCTAGATGTCTTGAAGCAAAGGTTAGATGGCCATCTGCCGGGAGGGCTTTGATGGTGGTGTTCATTTATGGCAGAAAAGGGTTTGGACTGGATGGCCCTTGTGGTCTCTTCTAACTCTAGAATTCTATAATAATAACAACAACACAATAATAATTGATAATAATAATAATAATAGATAATTGATAATAATCAATAATAATAATAATAATTGATGATGATGATGATGATAAATAATAATCCTTGATCATAATGATGGTGGAGTCTCCTTCTCTACAGGTTTTGAAGCAGAGGTTGGATGGCTATCTGCTGGGAGTGCTTTGATTGTGCTTTTGCTGCCTGGCAGAATGGGGTTGGGTTTAGGTTCTGACCCTGAAATCTTCTGCTGTAGAGAATGCTTGGGTCAAATGTAAGCCACTTTGAGTCTCTTTCAGAAGAGATAAAGCAGGATATAAATACACATCATAATATGTGCCCCTGATGTTGATTTTCAAGCCCTGATCCCTCTAAACTCCGCAGATAGCCTGACCCCCACAAAGGAGTGAGTTGCATTTTCTGGAACAGCTCATCTTTTAAATATATTGAAGCCCTCTCCCTTCTGTTGTTTAATGTCATGAAAGCCCATTTCCCAACAGAAAGGGGACTGCTGACTGGCTCTCCAAGATGGGTTGTTTTGGATATTTTTGACAGTCCACGCATGTTCCC